TGTGTGTGTGTGTGTGTGTGTGTGTGTGTGTGTGCTGGGGATTAAATCCCAGGTCTCTTTAAATGCAAAACACATGTTCCACACAAGCTATGTTCCCAGCTTTATAGATATCACTTGTGTGTTCTCAGTCCACTTCCTCAGTATCCTGGACAAGCCTTAGACCTAAGATCAGGCCCTTTCATACAATTGTAAGCAAGATGATGGAGTCTCAGCTGGGCCCTATTTTTCTCATCTGATAGAACACCTGCTAGTATGTTAATCTTACGAATTCTGTACAGAAACATCCAATAATATGTCTTATTATGTCTTTTCTTCTAACCCTCTTCCACCACAGTGTAGGAGGTAGGCCAGGAGTGAGGAGTCTGCAGAAACCCCAGTAAGTCACATTGTCCCTTATTGAATCCTGTGCATTGTGGTGGTGTTCCTGGGTGGTGTTCCTGGCATCTACTTTCTAGCCCAACAGGAAACCACAGGCTCAGATTATAGCCCCAGAATAGATACCCCAGCAAAAGTGGATAATGTCCTTTAAACTGCTCAAGTGACTGAAGATGAAGAGGAGGCCCTTCTCCCCCACTCCTTCCGAACTACATAGCTCCTCTATGGCCACCTCCTACCCTACCCCCAGCTCCAAGCAAAAGAAAAGGGTAGCATTTACTCGGAGTCAGTAATTACATTGAGCAAAGGCAGCAAGAGCCTAGATGAGAGTTATGAAGCCCCATACAGGGAGCAGGATAGGTTCAGACTCGGGTTTCAGGGCACCTGGGTAAGATTGGGACCTCTTCTCAGCTTCTCCATCACTGGAGATCTCTGCTTTGGGAGGTTCAGGGATAATGAGAAGGCAGGAGAACAGTTTGCTGGGATGATGGGGATAGGAATCCAGTGGGTAAAACAATACCCAAATTTGGAACCATTTGAAAAGCTCTAGAAGAAAAATATTTTTAGATATCTTTCAAAGACAAGTAAATACATTGTTGTAGGGCTACAATTGCTGTCATGACCAAAAGCAGCTTATGGAGGAAATGTTTTGTTTGGCTTACATATTCTGAATCACAATCCACTGAGGGAAGCCAAGACAGGAACTCAAATTGGGCAGGAACCTGGAGGCAGGAACGGATACAGAAACCATGGAAGAGTGCTGCTTACTGGCTTGCTCAGCTTGCTTCCCTATAGAACCTAGGACCACTAGCCCAGGGATGGCCCCATCTACATGGACTGATTGATGGCCCCCATCAATCACTAATTAAGAAAATGCCCTACAGATGGATCTGTTGGAGGTTTTTTCTCAATTAGGGTTCCCTCCTTCCAGGTGACTCTATCCAGGACACAGATGCCCACACACATTCTCTCTCTCTCTTTCTCTCTCTCTCTCTTTTGTATTTTGGGACAAGGTCTCATATAGCCACCTGCCTCAAATGTGATATCTACTCTAGATTGATCTTGAATGTCCAAGTGCTAGGAATACAAGCATGTACTACCACACCCAGTTTTATGAAGTCCCAGGGATTTGACTCGGAGCTTCTGCAAGCATGCAGCTCCACAGAGGGTCTCCTCAGTTTTCACAGATCTAAAAAGAAACCACGAGTGCAAATTGCTGGTCTTGCTGCAATTGCATTTCTGACTGGCCCAGGGGTCAGGAGTTTTCCATATTCTCTGACAGAAAGCATTCTTGTGAGAACACCTGGGGGTTTTTAGCGGCTGCACAGACTACAGGTGCCAGAGAATCCTGGCATCTGAGAGCCTGTCAGATGGTCTCCAAGATAAGCTTTTCGTTTTTGCAAACGAGGAAAGTGGAGCCCAGAGTGTCATCACAGAACCCAAGTGTTATCACCCAAAGCAAGCTGCCCCAGCCATCAGCCAGGACTCATTCCTGAATCCTTACGGATACCCTGATTTTCACCTGCTGGTGTTTCCCCCTGTTCTTGGGTGAGATCTCTGCCAGATGAGCATCCATGAGATTCCAGAACATTCTATATTCCCTGGTGTCAGGACATGCCTGCCCTTCCTGTTGTGATCAGTCCTTATGGGTTAGTGATGGCATCTGAATACAGGATGAGACTGCCTGCTGAAGAATTGGGGACAGCCTCCAGGATGGAATGCCCAGCAGTAGTAAAGCCATTTGCTGAGGTCAAGAACAGAGTCAAGGGCCATCATATCAGAAATTTGGGGTCTTGGGCATCACAGTTGTCGGGCACTCCCTCATCTCCGAGGGGCCCCTTGTCTCTGAGACTAGAAAGCCGAGCTCTTTGGGTCGCTTTCCTCCTAGTCCTCTCCCTGCAGCGGCACTGAGCCTGTGTGCTTGCGCACCTCCCTTTTGACAGCGCTCAGTTTTGTTTTGCTTTTTTTCCAAAGTGAGGGAGTGAGGGTGATAGGGAGCCCAGCCCTAGCGGGCAAGCGCTTTCCAACCGCGTTAGGAATTAGAGGCTGTGTGGGTGAGGCTGTTGTTAGTCAAATGCAGCGGTGGAGTCACTTTATGGATGGTTTTGGAGAGGCAGGCGGAGAGGTGCAAGCTAAATACGCGTGCCTGGGGTAGAGAGACACCACGAATCCACCGGGTCCCAAAGATCGCTTTCCACCCGCAGGGCTATGGGTGGCTCCCTCAGCTCTCCAGGGACAATTGTAACTCATCCAGTT